AAAAAAAAAAAAAAAAAAAAAAAAAAAAAAAAAAAAAAAAAAAAAAAAAAAAAAAAAAAAAAAAAAAAAAAAAAAAAAAATGCAATCGATATGAAAAGGATCTTAAATGTACAGCAAAAGTTACCGAATGCAGAAGGGCAGCAAAATCGAAAGTGACAACCAAAATTGCAGTAGGTTTGTTTAGAAGGCAAAAGCAGATTTTTTGTAACCATTTTCGAGAATAAATATAAACGACTTTAGATGAGATTAAGCAATATTTCTTAAGAAAAATCTATGTCGCTCTCTTTACTGACCTAGGTCATTTAACTTAACTAGTAAATAACGTGTGACAAATTTTCCCGCCTTTTCATACCATGACCTCGTTTAGAGCAAACGGAAATGTTCACATTATTCAGCCGATTGAGGAGTTTAATTCCCTCAGTCGCCATTGTTGGATACGAGGTGATTTCAAGTGACAATCTTGGCGCTGTTACTATATATATACATATATAAAACACTTTTAATGCCTTTTTTCTCTCTACCCACGCCAGGGAATCGACACGAATGCCAAGCACATGGCTTGCTTGGTCACATGATCCTCGCACAACCTAGAGGGGGGTTCACATAATGACAATTGACTCCCTCCAAGACCCGGTTCTCCCTGGACGTGCTAAACTAAGCGGCCAGAGAGAAGACATAAAACTCCTATTTTCTGGCAAACATAATTGGTATCTAACCTTGGGAAACAGTTTCATTTTCCTTCGAGTCTCGAGATTCTCGGAATAATAAAACTGACTGTTCCCCTTGGGACTAGTGAATAAGTGTATATTCTTATCCCCAACTGTCCATATCTGTAAATATGCGAAATTATGCTGTAAAGAGGGTCCTAATATCAAAAGGATTATGGCAAATGGCTTCGTTAGAACTTTTTTGTATTTTTATTTTGTGTGATAAAACAAAATATGAATGATTTACTGATGGAAACTTACACTTTTTGCCTTTATATTTTTATAGGATATGCTTATGGAGGTACGTACAAATGATTTTTTTAACCATTAATTATGAAAAATTATGTCATCATTTTCTTAGCGAACGGGACTTTGGGCGCGATGCCCAACGAGTTTGCAATTGCCAAGCAGAAAGGTCTCGCATGAGTCGCTTGGCCGGGACGAAACGAGCGGCGCAAGACTAGCCAGAACAATGTATTATCAGAAGTATCTGTCAACTTTATTGTCAATTATGATAAACAAAGTTCAACGTTTCTTGTGAATTTGCCAAGATTAAGTAAACCCTCAGTACATGCCGTAAAGTTAAAGATAGCTATCCATGTCCCCACCTACTTCCAATGTTTTTAATTTTAAAAGGATTGAAGCAAAGATTTCTAAATTTGCTGACTATTTAGGAGCCTGTTTTAATCGTTGAACTTATTTTGCGACGAAATGCGAGGTTCATGTCAAATGTGAGAAAATTGCTTGTGAAATTTAAAGATAAGAAATTAACAAGACGTGCATGGCAGCATAGTTCAACTCTTCTCCTGTGATGTTTTGCAAAACCGGTTCAGTTTCGACACCATTGCATACCATGGGAAGCAGTTCCGCCTCCAAATGCCTCAGTTCATTATGGCGTTGAATGATAAATCCGCCCCGTTTGCAAATCGTAGCGTGATTCACATTGAATATGTCCCCACAAACACAAACAGAGGGCGTATCAGGAACTTCCCAGTCGTACCTGAGTTTCAAAGCGTCTCGAAACTCACTCTTCTGTAAATCAAAATTCATATCTCTAATTGGTAAAACAGTAAGCCAACTAGAAGGACCTTTATGAGTGGCAAGGTCGACAGCTCTCAAAGTTTTTTGATAATAATAATAATAATAATAATAATAATAATGAATAATGAATATTGAATGATTAATAATAATAATAATGATGATGATGATGCATAAAAAGCTGTCAGTAACCAAACGATTAAATAACAGAAACCACAAAAACGAAGTCATACTATGAACAAATGAATGAAGTTAATCTTAGTTAATAGGTTTTCTTAAATTCACAGATGGTCCTACAAACTGTGTCCCTCTCACAGCCAAAGCTTGTGAAGGGGCTGGTTATGACCTCACTGCGGACTTTCCAGCGATTGATGGTCAGCCATACCAACAGGTCAAAGAAAAAAGTCTGGAGTATTTCCTGTCGTTTTTGCACCACTGTTCACCATATAGCAAGACAATAATGTGCTCGCTGTACATGCCAAAGTGCGTGCAAGGACGGCCAACGCCAGTTCTTCCCTGTCGCAGTGTCTGTTTGGAGTTTGTGAGCAAGTGTCAGACACTTCTGTCGGTGGCCTCACACGCTGGCATGTTCAGAGCGCTCTGTGATTTGTTACCAGAACAGAATAGTAACTCTGAGACTTGTTTTATACCCGTGGGGTTTACTCCAAGCGTTTCTGCCGCTGCTGGTAAGTACAAGTATTGGCATTAACACGAGATATAAGTCCTTTCAGGAAGGTTTGACACTTCTGTGTATAAATATGGCTAGTAAGCAAGGTGCGGCAGGAGTGGTAACTAATGTGCGGGACTGCGAGCCGGAGCCGCAAGCCTATTTTTGCGAACCACTGCGTTTTTTTTTCTCTTTCTTTTTTCTTTTTTTCTTTTTTTTCGAGTTTTTAATTTAAACGTTAACGTTTTACTCAGTAAATACTGCACTTGGCAGGCAGAAGAAACAAAAATTTTCGATTTTCTTTTATGCGTGAAACTCCGCGCAAGAAAATTTTCCGTCTGTATTAAATTTAATTTCACCGAACGGATTTTGCTGGTAAGTTTATAGTTTCAGCTATGGATGTAATTTTGAGTTTCCCTTGTAACTTTTCGTATCAAAGTGTTGATTATGTAAAATTGACTAATATCCACATAACCGAAAAACGTTCAAGTGAGGCGAATTTTAGGTAATTGTCAAGATGATATAAAGAGAGCATTAATCAAGCACCGTCACGAAAGATTCATATAATTGCTTTTTTGCCGGTCAATTGCCCGTTGTTTTGTCTCTTGGTAAACCAGGTTACTACTAATTTTTTTTAAATGGTTTCCCAGTAAAATCAAATGACAGGACGATCGCTCATTTCGAGAAATTCAATAGTTTGGGGATGAAACCCATCCGCCCGGCAATGATAAGCCGGAGTTGGTTTGTAACCATATTTACACATCAGTTTATTTAGCTTTATTTGAACGTTTAATTTGCTTTAATCTCGACTATCTCGCTGGAATATAAATTCTTTATGTACTTCAGCGACCCTTCATTTCGCTATAAGGCGAAACTTCGCCCAGTGAAAGTCAGTACAATTTACTACGCTGAAAAAACTCACAACTCGATCCTTGAAAACTAATTAAAAATTAGCAAAAGTTCACCTCGCTTGCAGTTACCAAAATCTGCATGGTGATTCAAAAGCAAGATGGGAAACATGTCCGTCCTAAAATATCTGTGTAATTGGTAGACATAAATTTAAAAAAAGAAAAACCTCCATAACCTCACTTGCCATGCTACAGTGCAGCGACACATAAAGACCGCGGGTGCTTTCCATTACGCCAAAGATTCCGAAAATTTCAGTCGGAAGTCAGATGGAAAGGTCCGTTTCGGTTCCTTCCGACCGGAATTTTCGGAATCACCTCTGGAGGTGGTCAACTTATTTCGGTCGACCGAAATTTGCAGTTCCATTTTTGACAAACCGGTTCATTGCGCTACATCTCTTCACTTATGTAGAGAATTCGGAAAGGAATAAACAGTGGTAAGAGCCATTACTCTTAGTTGGACCGGTTTGATCAGAAAATGTCGTTCCATTTTCCTCGGGTATTCCCACTGATCTCTGACCGGTCAGTTTGGCGCCAGTGAAAACCCAGCCTATAATAAATACCACATTAGGGCATCATGCCTGGTTTTGGATTTTATGAGGGCAATCTTTCTGGGCTCGGAAACTGAGAGACTCGCGACTCGAGGCTCGAGGCTCGGGCTCGCAGAGTCGCAAAATAACCTCCCCCCTTAGTTTTGTCGGTATGACTGCTCATGTGGTAGACTGTTGACCATGTCATCTTTACATAGCATTTTCGTGACTAGGTTTCACATTTGGCCTCTACAGAGCGTCTCCTTTTTTTCCTGTGTGCTGCAGTTGGCAAGTAGATAAGTCTTTCTGAGGAGTTAAAGCAGGGACACCAAGTTAAAATTGTTTCCAGTCGGTGACCATGGATTTGAACACGTCCCGTCTCATCCCAATTCAAAGATCATTGTGTTCTTTTAATTTCCCTCGCCAATTCTGCTCTTCTTTTCTACAATGCAATTTGTTTTCTTACCTTGCTTTCTTCTTCTTTTTTATCGCTTCTTTTTTCTAGTCCCAAGACGTGGTGGTAATTGTAGCAGAGTTGTGGAACCAAAATACTGCTCCACAGATCTCCATTATAGTCAGACGTTTGTTCCGGAGAAACATCAGTCTAGCGTAACTGTTCTTCAAAGCATCAAAGACTCCAAATGTTCACCAGTGTTTGAAAAGTATCTGTGTTATACCACTGTCCCTCCATGTAAGCCCAACGATCTGTCCGTGTATGTGCCTTGCAGATCTGTCTGTGAACAGGTCGGTTTATATTTTATGTATTTTGTAAAACGTATGGCGATAAAGACTGTGGCTACTCCATTAATAGTGCAAAGATTTTGCCGAGTCATAAACTGTTTTATAATGAGTTCTCGAACCCAGAGATCTTGTTAGGAGAGATTCTCATGATTTTATTTCTCCATGGTTTCCCTAACTACCGCTCGTTTCAATCGAGGAGATACATAATTCGAGACGGTGTTTCGTCGCATTTCCAGACGCCTCGAATTTCATCAAAATAATCTGCTTGAACTATCTTCTCTGGATGTGGAAACTCGATTAAATACCGCCTCTTATGGCTTTTCGTGTTTGGTATATTACAGCGATCGTGTTTGGTATATCACGGCGAACTACGATTTCGATAAAAAAAATTGTTATTGCTATTTTTTCCAGGTGAAGAGAGAATGTGGAGAAGAATTTGAGAAAAGTGGAATTTCTCTGCCAGACTGTACTCCGACATACCCGGAGGATGATGACCCTCAAAACAAAGGCTTGTGTCGTCTGAGTCAGTTCCCAGTTGCTTGGCCTGTCAACAAGGAAGGTAGGAATATAATTACTAAGAACTACAAACCGTATCAGGAGATCGCTAGGGACTGGGGAAGGGATGCGCCCTTGAATGGCTAAGTGCAATACTTAACCTTTAACTTAACTACAGTTATTGAAACATCGTATTTTACAAAATCTGCCTGTTCTATGTTTTCAGGGCACTTTTGGTAGAAGTACGTGGTACATGTATATGTAGTTGGACACGAATACGTTTTGGGTATCAAACTAACAATGGATTTTTTTAAACAAGCATTGTCATTCGGTAGCAAAGGGGACTTTTGTGTCTAGACTTTTATTACGCAAGCGCTGCCGAAATCCTAAAAACAAAGATGACGTTTGAAAGAGCGATTAGCTTCATTGCTCGTTCTAGAATTTTAGCGAAATGCTGCAATTTTTGGCCTCAGCTTGTTGTTTAGAATGACAGGGTGTTTTAGTGTGAGAAAGCTCAAACGTGAAAATATTGAAGAAATCGTCTGTCTGTCTGTCTGTCTGTGTGTCTGTCTGCAGGCTCTTCAAAGTCAATATATTAGGCCATGCTCGTTTTTTCTTTTTTGCGGGTTTATGGACTTCGACTCCGTCTCGGTCCATAAAAACGAAAAAAAAAAAAAAAAAAAAAAAAAAAAAAAAAAAAAAAAAAANTTTTTTGCGAGTTTATGGACCGAGACGGAGTGGAGGTCCATAAACATGCAAAAAACAGAACTTGACCAATATCCAGCCATCTTAACCAAAATAGCCTTGGCCAACAATCCATGAAATTTGACAGAAACAGGTCATATCGCCTTTGAGTTGTAACTCTTCAAAGTGTCAACATCCAGCAACTGAATAAGGCTTTAAGAAAAAAAGCAATTAGTTTTCAAGCAATAAGCAACTTTTACTTCAGGTAGTTAACAGTTGTGTCCGTTATCTTGTTGACTATTTACTCTTTTTGAATTTCCTTTTTTTATTGTCTGAAAGCTCATGGTTCAAAGTGTTCTTCACTCTGATGGTACCGCAGTACCTCTTCCTTCTAATGCGCACTATCAAAATTTCCAAGACAGATCTTGTGAACATGACGTTGATTTAAAAAAAAAAACAAAAAAACAAAACAAAACAAAACAAAAAAACAAAAAACAAAAAACAAAACAAAAACATGACGTTGATTTTGCGTAGATATCAGAGTGCTCTCTATCGCCGTCGAATGAATCGTCCTCGAGTTTGGGCATGTCCGAGAAATCAGCAAAGGGTTGAGGAAATCACCAGGAATTCCGCCAAGCATGACAACTATTGAGAGCACCTCCGAATTAGAATGAACATCGAGTCCTTTCAAGCGCTTTGCGTTTTCTTTCACCATTTATGACAAAAAGAAACACTCGCTTTTGAGCAGCGGTACCGATAGTGAAACGTGTAGCAATTAGATTGTGGCGCCTAGGGACTGGGGAAAGCCATCTTTTACGTTTTGAAAACACACTGCGCGTAACATTGTGATCACGAAATTATTCATTCATCGGCATATCGTGTCATTTTTGCCAACTGCCGCTTTTTTTTTAACGTACCCTTGTGTTCTTTGTAGAGGTCGATTAAAATTTCCCCTTCTGCACTCGTCCAAGGGCTTCGCTGACTCTTGGCGGTGCAGGATTTGATGAGCTGTCGCTCGTTTCACAGCAGCTTGCGGTGAATTACGTGAATAGGAATACACTTCCTGTTAAGGCCATGGTTCAAAACTTGACCATCCTCATCTTTCAATTACTGCGCAGATTTGATTTTCTGCTTATATGTTTTTTTCTTTCTTTCTTTTTTTATTTTGCAGAATGTGCTGGGCCACTGGGAATGGAGAACCGGTCAATTCCCGATTACGCCATCACAGCCTCATCTGAGGTACGTAAGGGTTAACGTAAACAAATTCCATTCAATCTCTTTTCGGGAAGATACTTTTTTTTTTATCTCAGTTCATTTCATTTTATCTCTTGTGTTATGTTTTTTGGGCCTATCATTCTATGGAATATCCAAACTTTAAATAGCAAATTGGGATCAATTTGTTTTGACACTCTAAAATGAAGCTCTCTTCACATTGATATATCAAATCATTTTCAGCACAAAAATAATCCAAACAAAGATGCCAATGCTGGACCAAGATTCATTTAGCTGTATCCATGCTGTTCTTCGGTATAGAACTTTTGGCTTGGTAAGAAGTCAGGAACCCATTATACCTGACCACCATTGGCGTACAAGGGGGAACGTTTTTTCTCGGGAGGGTCAGGAGGGGTTCAAAAACAAATAGAAGCAATGTTTTAAATAGAAATTATATATCTTATTGAAATTTTCTTTTTCAATTGTTTTAATTTGTAAGTGGGATTGTGATAACCATGTAGCGTCCAATGCGAAGAATATTGCTCTGTTCAAAGATACCGCGCTCCGTTTTCGGTCCATAATGTTCAAACGGTGCGAGTTTATGCAAGGTTTCATGAAAAGATATCTTTTTCGTTTCTTAGTGGGATGGAAATCATGGACCCACCAATGCGAGGCTGAATTTTACTGCAGGTGGCGGAAAGACGGGCGCATGGTCGTCTAAGACAAATGACAAATCACAATGGATTCAGGTGGATCTTCGAGAAAATTTCCAAGTGACCAAGATATGTACACAAGGTAGACAAGATTCTGCTCAGTGGGTGACCCACTACAAGGTGTTCTACAGTACAGACGGAAAGATTTTTACTTCCAACGACGAGGTAGGTAGATGCAAAAGACGCAAAATTATGTTCTACTACGTACGCTGTGTGACTCTGGAAATTACAGGCAATGATTTTTTGTTTTCCTTGCATTATTTCACAATTATGTACGTTCTTCCAACCGTACTAAGATATTTCGGTTGGGTTATGTGAATACGGTAAACTTTCGAAAGTAACGGCCCTTGTTACTTCCGGAATTAGCAGCCTTTTGGGGCTCGTTACTTTCGGGGGTCGTTACTTTCGAAGGATAGCTACTTTTGGGAAGCAAAAAACGTTATATAAAGTTGGTACGGATAAGCTCTTTTACGAATTAAAAGAAACCGGAAATTTGTAAAAACAGCTCTTAAAACACCAGATACAATTCTTCGTTCCTGTTCAAATCACGTTAAATCTGTGTTGCTACCATATGGGCGAGCTCTTCATTTCTAGATCGTGTTGTCGGTGGTCGGAAGGAAAGCTTGTCAGATACCGTAAACTGTTTCTCCTTCATGACACACTGCTACATTACTCTGCTGTAAAAATATCTTAGTGCACTGGTCGAGTTTTTAATTCAAATTTTAAGAAACGTCCCTTCTAATATGCTTCGGTAGAAAATGATATTAATTTGTGTCAAAGTTTCCTATAGCTTGTTCCTGTTACCTGAAGAAAATTTTACGGGTTTTCTCTTAACCGTGACTGCACAAAATTCACTAGTAAAGCACGAATTGACATTTCACAATTAACGCTTCGTAGCGTAAGAGATACCTTCCCTTGTTGGAGATTGCCTTCACTCAAGTTACGGTACCTAACTTTCACTTGACTATTAGAAACAAAATAATATGTACTGTTTTCTTGAAAGTTAGGATGGGCTCGCTACCTTCGGAGGGGTCGCTACTTTCGGGATTTATTAGCGGCTACGATTTTTTGACGTTATTCTCGGGGAGTCTTTACTTACGAGGGGTCGTTACTTTCGCAAATTTACCGTTTACTGTAGTTATTGACTAGGAAAGTACACTGTGAAAAGGCACAGATTGAAACGATGCAACAACAATTCACCTACAAAGTTTTTACGGTCTAGATATCTCTAAAACGCAAAGATAACGATTCAAATAATATATATTTTGGACGATTCTAACGTTTTTTCCCTGAAATCGAACTTTTCAGTTTCCGCTCAAACCACGCCTTTCCAAGATTGGAGATTGGTATCTCATAAGGTCACATAGAGGGAGGAATACCCTTCCAAATGGAAATACGAAAAATTGGCCTTGGAGGTTAACATGGTCTAACATTCTTAGTCACTACACATTCTTGTGTACTTCCCTCTTTTCGTTCTTTTCCATTCTCAAGAATCCTTCGAACAGTTGCAAATCTCGCTTAGTTTTTTCCCTCTTGTTTCTGTTATCCATGCTTTCAACATATTCCTCTACCAAAGTTGCACACGCGACAAATCTTTTCTTCCTAATTTTTTCAAGGAAATCCGTCTTTGAAAACAGTCCGTAGAGCGAATTTGTATAATTTTGCGAATTAACGGTTTGAAAAGTTAAACGTTACCAGTCGGGCATGAATGAGAATCGCGGTGATACGCGGTGAGAATCGCGGGGCACACCAACACGGCTCACATGTGAAGAAACATGATACGCAGCTCCTGATTAATATTGGACGTATCGTTTTCTCCACACGTGAAAGAAGCGATACGCGACATTTGATTTGCTTTCCGCCACTTAGTCTGGCTTGTGAATGAGACTTTATTTTGCGCCTTTTCAGTGAGTAAATTTCATTATGTATATAACAAACACAGGTTACACGCACAACTGTGTCTTAATTGCAAACATGAAAATATGTATGGTAGAAAAAAGGAAGACAAATATAAACAGGCACATTTAAAGTATGCACCTAAAAACCATTTATAAATAGTGATAAGGAAATATAAAACCGCAAACTTGATCGGAAATGTCTCAAAAGTATTTAGTCTTATTGAAACTGTTTTAATTCTTTTCTTTGGGGGGGGGGGAGGGGGGAGGCAGTCTGTGCTTAGTCTATGAGGTTCAAAACTTTGCTTTTCATTAATTGCGTAGGTGTATGATGCTAACAAGGATCAAAATACCGTCGTAGTTAATACTTTAGAAGCACCCATTAAAGCGCGCTTCATCCGTCTTGAGCCTCAAGGCTGGTACGGTCACATTTCGATGAGAATGGAGCTCTATGGATGCAGTTTGAAATCAGGTATTTATGGTTTAGCGTCTATTACGATTTTATTAGGCTTTCTCAAGTTCTTTAATAAGCCATCGAGTTTAAACCAAGAAAACCATGATCGTGATGGTGTCTGTATGTCTGAACTCTGATCTTAATTAACATCTAGGTTTTTAAGATTTTATTTTTTCGTCTTCTCCTTAGTATTAGTTTCGATTGAGAAGATGTATATAAAACACTCAACACAGTGTTTGATCACAATTTTAAGCACCTTGAAGCTCACGAAAAATACTCCACTGCGCTTTGTATTGTATTTTCAATTCTCTTCTCGTTGATTTTAAAAGTGGTCAAACACGTAACATATTTTACATTCCAAAGTAAACTGGAACGACAAGTATACTAAGTACTCTAACTGACAGAAGAAGGAGCTTATTTTTAAGTCTATTTGTCCACTACATGTTTTGAACTTCATCTCAGCTTAAATCACAATGCGTTTCTTAAAGAGACTGCGTTAAAACAGTGGAGGTGCCGGTCTGGAAGGCTATCGGCCGCCATTAATGGAATAATATCCAACCTGGAATTCTGCCTGGTTAGGAATAACTTTTACGTTAGAATTGTTGCGTTGGGTCATTTACAATTAATATATTTCACTTTCTTGTTACCAGAATGCGCGTCACCAATGGGAATGGAAAACAAGGCGATACCCGACAAAGCGATCACTGCTTCCTCTGAGGTACGTTTAACAATTTTAGTCATGTTTCCGCTATCTTTATATATTCGACGCTTTGTGTACAAGGTAAATAGACGTGTTTGAAGTGTGAGAATGAAAGTCTCCTCCAAGTGTACAACTAATGAAGATAGCACAGCAACGATCACAGAACCCAGCTTCTGTATCACATTTGTTTACGGAGAACCTCAAAAAAGGTAGCTTTGCTCTTCCTCACAAATGATCCCAGCGGCACTCCGTTTTGAGTATGAAATGTTCAATCCGCGTGAAGATTGTTGTTGTTTTTTTTTATTCCTAAGTGGAATGAATTTCATGGACCCACCAATGCAAGGTTGTACCATATGGCAGGCGGCGGAAAGACGGGCGCTTGGTCCTCTAGGACAAACGACCAATCACAATATATTCAGGTAGATTTTGGAGAAGTCAAAAGGGTAACTCAGGTTGCAAGTCAAGGCCGTCAGGACGCTGCACAGTGGGTGACGAGGTTCAAAGTGTCTTACAGTACATTTGGGAAGGTGTTCAATTCCCAAGATCATGTGAGTTATCAAGTGATATTTGTACAATCGAAGGCATGTTTAACTGTGGATTCATTTTCTCATGCTAATATTGACGATGACGACGATGACGATGATGATGACTACTGATAACATAGGGATCATCATCATCATCATCATCATCATCATCACCATCATCATGCGTAACACTTTCGCCAAGGGACATATATGGCCTCAACATAGGGAGCAAGGTATTCATATTTAATCTTTATACCACCGACATTCTATGCTAAGCGCCCTGTTCATTGTCCACCTTAACACTTCTCCAGCTTCATGTCCATGTCGGATTTCTCAGACCGACCCCGCCGTCTCAGAACCGGCAGTTTCATTAAGTTTAATTTACACAAATGGGAACGAAACTTAAAGGTAATGATCTGTCTCTTCAGTTGCTACCATCATGACAGGCATTGCAGATTTAAATAAGAGCACGTATGTACCTGAAGTGACACAAAATATCATAATTAATCGGAATTGCAATCAGAATTATCATAATTGTGTTTATTAAAGCAACGACAATGATGCTACAAAAAGTGATTTAAAGCTTTTAATTTCAACAGTACTCTCAGTTCTGTCTTACAGAATAATTACCGGATCAATTGTGGAGGTTTATATTGAAAGTATCAATGTGAAATGCTGTCTGTCCAAAAAGTTTACTTATAATTTGTACAAGACCTTATCGACTCATATGTTTGTGATAATTGAAGGTTTATGAAGCCAACAGCGACCAGCACAGTGTTGTCGTCAATACCCTTACTCAACTCATCGAGGCTCGTTTTGTCCGTCTCGACATAGAGGCATGGTATGGACACATTTCAATGCGGTTTGAATTATACGGGTGCGATGCGGGTAAGAGATGTTGTTGTGGTTGTCAGTGAAGTTTTGTTTTTATTGTTTTTCTTTTGTGCTCCCATCACCTGTTAGGTTTGTAATCGGCCTGTGGCACTACGGGGGAATAATGCCCTAGAATTAGCCAATCAGAGTGCGCGTCGTATCGGCTACAAACATAAGCCATATTATAATAATTAGCTAATGTGGTCGTTAGTGGGTTGGTTTATCGATTTGTTCGTTCTTATTCCACTATGAATAAATAATAAAATATTGAGCCAGTTAAAAAGTAATAAAACAGTATTATGTTGCAAGGCCTCGGTCTAGCCCTCTTAGGCTCGGCCTAGCCTCAAGCTTCGGCTTAGGCAAGGAAAGGTCTCGGTCTGAGATTTTCCCGTGAAGACCTCACTCTTGGTTATTCACAGTTTCTTTCTCCCCCCAACCCCGTGTATAGGTATAAATGGGTAACTGCGAAAATAATGGTGGGGGATAACCCTTTGATGGACTAGCATTCCATACAGAGGGAGTAGAAATACTCCTCGCCGCCTGATGCTAGTGAACCCGGAGCTAAGCGCCAGCCTTATGGGCCCCTCGTCTTGTATGGAGACTTTACCTTTTTTAACTATCCTTTTAGATTGTATAACGCCCCTGGGAATGGAAAATGATGAAATCCCAGATTCGTCCATAACGGCTTCATCAGAGGTAAGTGCAATAGAAGCTAAAACAATAAAGAGCCTGACAGTTGAAATAAAAAAAAATTATATAAAAAAAATTGTATCAAAAATTGTATCACCCATACAAGTACTACATATTGAATTAATGTCAGATTCGTTAAGTGTAGCTTGTAGCTTGTGAAAAACCTGTAGGAAGCACGATATTAGTGAAGTATTGAGTTATCACTATATACATAATGGACTATTAGGCCTAAACTGTCGAAGCTGAATTGATCAGATCAAAGTCATGTGTAACTTCGTAACAACACTCAGGGGCAAATTCAGATGTGGCAGACGAAGAAATTGTGGCAGAGCGCAAGTCAGCCCCCCCCCCCCCCCCCCCGCCCAAACCGAATAAAAATTCACTTTTCCCAAAGATGCTGCTTTTTTTATTCCCTAAAATCCAAGAAAAAAGTGGGGTCCGCAGCCCTCTTGCCTTCTAAATCCGCCTGTATTGCTATATTAGAGATAACGAATTTCTTCACCGTTCGAAATTGCAGTTGTAACTAATTTGTGGTCCTCCTGTTAAAACTAGTGGGATTCCAATCATGGGCCGAACAATGCCAGGATCGACCACATGGCAGGAGGGGGCCGAACAGGCGCATGGTCTGCCAGGACAAACGATAAAGGACAGTGGATTCAAGTGAATCTTGGTAAAATTATGGAAGTAACCAAAGTAGGCATGCAGGGCAGGCAGGATTATGCGCAGTGGGTAACGAAATACAGGGTGTCTTACAGCATGGACGGTCAACACTTTACCACCCAAAATCAGGTAAGTAACAAGCTCCCTCTTTTAAAATTTACTATCGTTGAATAAATAATTTCTGCCAATAATGTCAGCATAACTTGCAATGGAAAGTAACGATCGGAAGAAAAAATTTTTTTGTCGAGGCAAATATTAAATTACATGAACATAAGAGAAATTTAAACGGATGAGTGATCAAGAAATAAGAGAAATGAATTATTAAACATAGAATTATATACAAGACCGGTTCTTTAAAGAGCTGCAGTCCTACTGTAGTTTCCGCAGCATGTCGTTTCAAGCTCATGATCGTCATAATATGCAACATCTGCTTCACGCGTGTTATGCAAGTATGTTTATACCATCCCATGTTCAAAATTAATTGTATTTGCCATGCGTCAGGTACCAAATTTTGAAGAAAGTATCCGCTTTATCTAACTTGAGGTGAAAGTAACGTGTTTCACGTAATATATAAACACGAAAGACCGTGTTTGACCACATTTCCAAACATCGAGAAGAGATTTGAAAATACGACGCGCAGCGGAGTATTTTTGACGAACTTCGAGACGTTGGGAAAAGTGGTCAACTATGTCTTGAGTGTTTGATATACCTTCTCAATCTAAACTAAAACTAAAGAGAAAACGGAAAAATAAAATCGTGAAAAATTTATGCTAATTAAGATCATATATCCAAAAAACGTCACAGTCATAATTTCCTTTGTTAAAACTTGATGAAATATTAATGAGTTTGAGAATGTAAGTTCACACAATGACGAAAATAATTATTTTCAGTAATTATGTAAGGACTTTTCTAATGAACAAGCAACGTGTAATACATTCTATAATTTTAGACATACAACGGCAGCAAGGATCAAAATACCGTTGTCATTAATGATTTGATCCAGCCAATCCACGCCCAGTACGTTCGAATTCTTCCCCAAGAATGGCATGCACACATTTCAATGAGAATGGAGTTGTATGGTTGTGAATCAAGTAAGTTGTAATGTTACCCATGACTTTTCCTCATAAAGACAGTCGTATCACTTACCACACCATGTGACACTTTGTTGCGATATTCTTTTAACTAAGTTCCATGCAGAATACTATCCTCACATAAGACTGTCTCAGTAAAAATTAACCTCACTTTTTAAGCGAAGAATAGTGGTGCGAAGATAAATTTGTTAATTAATTAGACGAACAAACTTTCCTGAATGTTCATTGACAGTTGCAGCTGCATCATTCAGCCGGAGACTAGTTTTAACGTTGTGTTATTGACGGTTTAATCAGTTCAGTTCAACATGGGTATAACCTCAATTGAAAGGGCATTGTTGAAATCCCTAAAACAGACTGTCACTCCTTGTATTTCAAACACCAGTCCCTCTCAGTCTCAAAAAGCGAAATTATCCCCAGTGCTCTCGTGGGTCAAAATATATCTCTAGCAATCTTTTCTAGTAATTGTTCAAATTGGAATCATAACAGGGAGGATGGGCCTTTTACCTTATAATGTATTACAATGTATCAAAACTGCGATCATATTTTACTCCATCAAGTCGAAGGTGGCTACTCTGACTGGGGAGAATGGGACCAATGTTCGGTCACGTGTGGTGCAGGATTCCGCTTAAGAAGCCGATCATGCAACAATCCCACTCCACAGCACGGTGGAGCAGACTGCTTGTCCCTGGGACCGAGTCAGGAAAGTGAGGCTTGCAATGAAAGTCCTTGCCCAGGTAAACATCCGTGGAAAAAAACAAGACAAATGATCGTTTTGTAATGTTGTGTATTAATGATGAAACTATTTGATGCTTCTTTTTATTGTGATAACCTCTTGTTTAATTAATCCTCTCATTTACTGAATCGAATAACATAAATATAGCAAAGATAATTCAGCGTCAGTCTACAAAAGAAATACCTCGATTGATAGACCAATTTCGATATATTAAAATTCAGCCTAAAACAATAGACCTCAGCACGAGGCTCTGGGGAATAAACCCCACGAACTCTGTATTTATTTCCCAGAACCTCGTGCTGAGGTCTATTGTTTTAGGCTGAATTTTAAAATATCGAAATTGGTCTATTACAACCCGGGAGGAAATTCACGAGACTTGAACACTTGAGATCATTTCCTCAACCAAGCTCAGCTGATGCTAATAGTAGTAACTGTTGACAGTTGATGGAGGATTCTCTGCTTAGAGCCATGGGACGCCTGCCCAGTGACATGTGGCGGTGGAACACGTAAACGAGTGCGCACTTGCAAAAACCCTGTAACGCAGTACGGCGGGAAAGATTGCCGGGCAATGAAGGAGATGGTTGAAAATACACTGCCAATGACTGCTCCGTTCAATGAAGATGTTGAAATGAATACATTACATTCACACCAGTACCTCCGTTCTTTTTTCTTTGTAGTTGATGGCGGCTACACACCATGGAGCAAGTGGAGCCGTTGCTCGACGACTTGCAATCCTGGAACACGTAGACGAGAGCGGAACTGCTCAAATCCGCCACCATTAAACGGCGGGAAAAACTGCACACAACTGGGAGAACCTTTGCAAACGAGGCGTTGCAACAAAGGGAAAAAGAAGCGGTGTAAAGGTACATATAGGTCATGTTTTTATGTCTCTCTTTGTGGGCCATTTCCTTTCTAAAACGAACATTGTACTTGTAGTGGTAACTGTTCGTTTTCATTAAACACACTGACATAAACTTCAGCCGCTTTCCGCCTGACTTGTTTTGATAGCTGTCGCGTCTGTGTGAGGGAAAGAAAGTGCATGTTTTATATTTATCAAATCGAACAGCGGAATTTAAAGAAAACCTCACAAAAGAATAAAAACTCCAACCAGTTAAGAGCTATGACAAATGATTGTAAATTTGTTCCTTTCAGAGAGTTACAATTATTTATGTTCACGACGACGTGAGACTACTCTTTTTGGCTTCGTCGACGAGAAAACGATGACAAGATTCTTCGATCGCGCTTGCGTCGTCCACCTCAGTCGTCGTGGTGGTGATTACTTTAGCTCTCTAAACAGGAAACAAAAGAAAATTCCGTTCAAATCGCTTGCTTTTACTCTTTTTCTGACACAAGTTAACGATAATACTGAGCCAAACGTGATTTACAGGAAAGTCTAAGGAACAAAATTAAGAAAATTGGTCGTCTTCCTTTCGTCACTTTATCCTGCGTTTCCAATTCCAATTGTCTTCAGATGAACTGAAAATGGAGAGGAAGTAGAAAAGTTGACATTTTTTATGCGCTTCAAGTGAGTTACAGAAACACTCCTGAAAGTTTTGGAAGAACTCGAAAAAGTTCTGCAACTCGTTTCCCCAGTGTATTTCTCACTCTCCCAGATTAACTTCCTCTCGTATTTCTATAACGCGATAAAAACACGGAAAATGTTTACTTTTACTTGATCTTATTAAATCTGTGGCTCATCAGTGAGCCGGGTCAAAGGTCACACCACATGGATTTTTTAATAAACTAACAAATAATGCATAGCACACGGCGGCGAATTTTATTTTCGAGTGGTAGAAACAACGGGTCAGGGTCCCGGATGAAATTTCGTTCGCATTTTAGGCATGTTGTGTTTACTGGTAAAACTTGTGTGTTTTCCAGTAAAACACTCGTCTCCATATTATAATGTGTATTATGAGAATGCGGAATTAGAAAGGCCCTTTAGGGCACATCGTGCGACAAACCGAGGATGAATGAGATGGATACAAAATAGACACGTACTTAATAACATTTTATATTTAGAAAAGGCTAGAAGAATCAGTCGAACAGCCAAAAGCAAGGGAGCACGCTCACGCTTGAAATTCACATCGATATGCAAAGAGTTCTTGCATTAGAAATGTTGAATTGCCCACGTATTTCTCGTGTCACATGACAGTCACGTCTAATCTAAAATGAAAACGTGCAAAATCCTGGGAAAGATGAAAATCGGCCAAGTGAGCAAGTTACCCGATAGGAAGTCGAGCTCTCTTAACAGGAGTCAACCTCTTACTTGCTTCCCACTATGTCGGACGCCCTTCTCTACAGAGTCTTCCGAGGATATTATATGAGGCGGGGAGTATACACGCAGCCTCTGTATGCGACATACAACAGAAGCACGCTTGTATGATAATAACGCAACAGAAGTCTCCACAAGAGAGCGGTTTGGGCACTCAAACACCGAGCTACAGGTGACTCGAGGGAGCTAGACCAAACGATACGTTTTCAAAATAGCTCGTGTTATTGATTGATAATACCTCATCATCTTAGTCATATTAGGCATGTATTAGTCACGTATGCCATTACACAAAAACAAAAAGGGCTCATTTTCGCAGAACACGTTACATGCTGAACATTATCACTTTCCTTTTTCAGAGTGACCTGTTTTCCATGATTGCAAGCCAACCAAGGATGTAACACGGCTCATCGCATCAGAAAACATTGGTGAAGGGACAAGGGGATAGCAATGGTTTTGGTTTTAGATCATGACGGATCAAAGAATATTAAAGGGATCTTTATGGTGCAAAAATTTCCGTCTACTTTTATGCCTTTGTCTGTATTGGTTTTTCGTTTACCATACCCTATTCAGACCAGAAGGGTTTCGTGCCCACGTTAAATTTGACTGTTATAACTTCTTTTAATTTTAAGTAAATGCTGATCTGATATTTATCTGAAGCAATCTGGTATGAAATGATACTTGATGTTTTCATAGCAGCAACCGTATTTTGACAGGTGTATTTGAAAAACAACTTGTTTAGCAAACTGTTTAACAAGCGCTACCAAACTTTAACCTTCACAGAGTTATTTCAACAGTGTTAGGACTTTTGGCATTTTTGTATTAGCGGAGCTCCTGCGCACCGAAGGCACGCAACCGAAGCCCCATGCCTTAGAAAATTTGGTAACCCATTGATCTCAAAAATGTTGGTTGTCACGTGACTGTCCGTACGTCCGTACGTCATGAAAAATAAGAGAGTAGCACCATTACCATAGGTAAATCTTTGATATTGGACATCCATGTTACAATTAATTGACAGCTGTCAGAATAAGGTATCCGATGAACAGCATTACGTGACCACATCGCGGGCTCAGGTCAAGAGCTCATCGAGGCCGCGTGTTTTTTGAAGTTGACCGCTGACCAGGTACTGGGTTTTCGATTGGATCACGGACTCAAGCCAGGTTATTACTCTGGGGGAGAGGAAGGGAGTCCATGCAAAGGCAAAATTTTGGCGCAAATGAAACCCTGACGTGTTGTTGACTTTTCTTCCGACACACTCCCTGCACAATCGTCTCTTGGAAAGTCCCCGATATATTGCGTGCGTAATTTCTACAATCTTGGGTACACTCATTAGGTATGGTTTGTTAAAATGTAACTAGAAAAAATAGTGAAACCACACACTGAACAATCATATGCTCACAATTGATCATTTTTTGAGTTTCTGATCCAGGGAAAAATATCCTTTTTCATTTATGGTTAATTATTTAATCAGGAGCTCCGCTTTTAGGCTTGGCTTAACCTATGTATTAGTGTTGCACATGTTCTGGTACTTTCTCAAGAAATCCAAGATGGTGGATCTAAGATGGCGGACGTCTAGATATCATCATAGCGTAGGTACTACACTATGAATTTTTTTTACAGTAGGTTTAACAAAACTTTTTTAATCTTTACAAACTTTGCGACTTCATCTGAAATTTATCTGCAAATCGATCTGGTATGACTTGGTATTGTACTTGGACCATTAGGTTTCCATGGAAGCAACGGTATTTATTTGACGGACATGTTTGAAAGATGAAACTTTAACAACTTATTTAGAAAAATGTCGAACGAGCAATACAAAAATGTAACTTTCATGCAGTTTCTTCAACAGTTTTTTCGACTTTTGGCGTTGACTAACGCAAAATGTAACATTAACCCGAATTGTAACAATTTTTGGCGCAAAATGTAACAATTTCTTTTACGCGAATTGTAACAACTTTTCAACTCTGGTCTTAAAGTAACTGCGGCTCAATTTCTCACCATTTGCCTCCATAACCCCAGCACGAGCAAATTTTGGTTTGATCATAAGAAGAGCGAAAAATATAGCGCCATGCACCAGTTTTTCAAAACCCACCCTGATGAGATATGCTTGGCTCTCGTGAGAGATGCGCATGATCATCATTTCCTGGATCAATGTAGGACAGTCCTCTGGGCGTTGTTTAGTGGGCTGTGGAGCGCCTCAACTCGAGGGTGCTTTCCGTTCGAAGGGAATAAAAGAATAACGTTTTATGAGAATTTGGAAGAATTTTGAACGTTCAATGAAGAAAACCAGTTGTCACGTACGTTAATGTCCACATTTGTGGGCAGAAATGATAAATTAACAAGCAAATTCGAGCCCCAATAGCCCGGACCCAATAGCCTCCCTGAACGACCCAACAAGTTTTAAGGAAGCACATCTGGTTTTCGTTCAGGCCGGTTGTAAAACATGCATCAAGTTTAGATAGCTCTTAGATATACATTGTACGAGCCCATCCAAATAGTTTCGAAGTCTCCACCTTGTTAAGGTGAAATGGACGATTTGGATGTGAACCTTTAATTTCTGAGAGACGATTGATTTATTTTGACGGTAACAGGCCTGCATTCAGGTTATTGGTTAAATAACAAGAGAAAAGTCAGAGCAATATAGGATAGCATAATCAAAGACAAACAAAATATTAATACTGTGGCTTTGACGTTAATCAAACGTGGAGGAATTTCAGAAGCCTCGCCTGAGTGGGCCTTAGTGACACTTGAGGACTCCAGCTTGAGGCTAAACACCAAAATACCCCAGTGCTTGCGTGCATTTGCATTTGTATTAAGAAAATAAATATATTGTTGTTGTTGTTGCTGTTGCGCGCGGGTTGATAATAACAATAATAATGGTTTTTAAATTAAAAACTGCAATTCAAAACATCCGTTTTAATTTAAAGTGAAAGGGCGTGATAGAAAGGAAGGTAAACTTACCAAAAAATTTTAAAAACGCTTTGTCCTAAAACACGGCAGAACGAATTTGTAGCCTCTCTCACGAATTTGGCGTGTGCAGGTAGAAGACTACTGATAAATATCACGCGAAGCCTAAATGAGCTAACTGTATTCCTTTAGTGGATCAAAAACAAATAAACAGCTAGCAATAAATTAAATGGCATTGAAGCAGAACGAAAATACTTGCTCTCTTGCACCGCTGTAGCCTCCTCTGCAACCTTAGTTTGGGCCGTTACGAACGACTACGGCGAAGACTCACTCCCGTGTATAAATCTCGTAGATGTTATTCAGGCTGTAACCTGCAACGCTGTTCTGTAAGAACATTCCTAGAAGTCTTGAAGATCCGAAGATCTCGCGTGATTTCTCCCACAAGGCAGTGAGAAATAGGAGAAAGGCAATAGATTATCAAGTTAAGAGAGTGAGTCTCCCATAAAGGTCTTATCTCCAAGGTAATCCCTCTTAAGTTATTGTTAGACATGGTACCCAGTTCTTCCACGATGAAGTTTCGAGAAGGTCGCTTCGACTGTCCACGCATCGCGCGAGTAACATCCTCGGAGGAGCTGGGTACCATGTCTAAAAATAACTTAAGAGGGATTACCTTGGGTAGAGGGCCTATATGGGGGATTCACTCTCTTACCTTGATAATCTCTTGGAGAAAGGCTAACACTCGAAAGGTCAACGTTGGAAACTCAGCGGTACGGCGCTGCGTTTTCGTAGAACTACGTAACATATATGATAATAATATATGGCTCTATAGAACAACCATCATTCAACATTTTTTGACCATTCTTGAGTTTTTATTGCTCTTATAAAGTTATCTTTTTTTGGTCCGTTCTAAAGAGAAATGAGGCGCAAGATTAAGTAATCAAAATCAAACATAAAGAAACTGAACCTGTGTGGTTTCACTGTCGTAACACAATGACTGATGGACCCAGTAAGTGACTGAAACTTTGTGGGATCTCAGCATTCGGCAGTAATATCTTTCGTGTAAGGGAGCTAACCACTGCAAGATACATTGAGAATAAAAAAAAGGTCAAACGTGTTTTCATTCATGAGTATATTCAACCTTAATAAGAACTACTTCCCAATGTGCGGCCATGGTAGTTAATAGAGAGTTTACGAAACCACGACGGCGACGCCGAGGACAACGTCGATTAAAAAATGGATTTATATTTTACCTACGAATCTCGCGATACTTTAAAGTCATTTACTTTGTTCTTCACTGTCAAAACTATCGCAAAACTAAATTCGGAACACAGCGATAAATTTGAAATGAAAATTTAAAACATTAGCCGTCGTGGTTCACGTCCTCCAGACAACGCAGAATTTGGTCATTTCACGTTGTTGTCTTGCAGAGGACGGCAAAGAAATGTATCAAGAATTATAACCAACGTGCTCAGCCATTGTACTGCTCATTAATTCTTTTGTTCAGTGACGTTCCGTTGCCGTTGCCGTCGTGGTTTCGTGACTCCTTAATGTAGCATATAACTCGCGCCTGACCGGAGTGCACGTGTTTTGGAGATTTTAGTCTTGAGATAGACTTTTGCCGGTTATTCACGTTTTAAGTAAATAAATTTACAATATTTAGTGAGGAAGCCACACCAGCCTTAGCTGGTTTTCATGCGGGCCGAATTGGAGTTTGGAGATGTCGGTTTTCGTGGAGAAAGGAAAACCGGCCGAGAACCCAGAGAAAAAGCCTCGGAGCAAGGCGAGACCCAACAACAAACTCAACCGCCATATCATGGCACCGGGCCGGAATCGAACCCGGGCCTCATTGGTGGGAGGCGAACGCTCTCACCACTGCGCCATCCTTATTCCCCCCAGTTGACTGACAGAACAGTTTTTTATTTGACTCAGAAGGGGACAGTGAACAAACCGAATAATTTGTCGTTATCAATCCATTTCAGTGCAAGGTTTATTCAGAAGCTGAAAGGTTCTTTTTAAAGCTATCTGATGTAAACAATGTCACAGTACATAATTATTTACCGAGCTCGAAGTTAACTGAAGTCCGGAGAGATGCTGGTAAAAACATCACAAGAATTTAAAACACTACAGCGAACGCGGGGAATTTGCAGGATAATTAATTATCCCAAATAACCCAGTGAAGATAGGATGATAACTTATTAGAGAAAAAGGAGAGAGGTAGAAGGTGACCTCTTGTAATTAAAGTAAGCTGATAAAATGGATGAAGCGCTTTTAGAACTACTAACACTGTACATTTACACGTTGGATTTTTTGAATTACATTGTACTTTAAGAGTAAGCTTGTATACGAGCGTTTAACGAAAATTAGCACCGGGAAACTTTCAAACAAAGAAAAGCACAGGATGTAGATTTTTCTGGTACGATAAGCGATCTCTTGGAAACTTCTAATATCCCTCCTAGGAAGATCAAATTAAAATAGTAGGATGTAACTACTTCCGCATTTGTGATAAAAATTTAATTATATGGTAGGAGTGAGGTTTAAAGAGAGCAGTTAAAAAAGCAGGCTTAAAAATTGCTTTTGCTTTAAAATTACTTTTTCACGAACACTTTGTGTGAAATCTGTTGCAAAAATTTTATACGACCGAAAAACTGTTTTTGAAATACAGTGGTATTAATTACGGCACACACAAGTTAACACCTCCTTATTCTTCTTCTTAATCACAGTTAAACTATTTCTCGGAAAGAAGACGAAAAGTCCAGGACTTTTTCCGAAATGTTTTTTTACATGAAACCTCTTTCGTCGAAAATTCTTGCTCATATTTCCCTGAAATGCTTGCTAGCCATAAATTTCTCTATAGAGTACCTTTTGTATGGATATTAGTAGTATTTCGAGCTCAGCGTTGGTCTCAAAACAAACTACTGCTAATTGAACAAATACTCAAATAAACGAAATTAAAACGGGCGGAACTTCTTACTGTAAAACTTTGGTAACCAAGGTCACATGCAAGCCAGCCTAACTTGAAGCTCTCTACCCCTAGGAACTTAAAATGCTATTGTTATTTTCCCGTCACTGGTTGGTCAAATTAAGCAAAATTTGTATGGGCATGACTCCTTTCTAAAATATGATTGGTTCTTGTCGTTTTCGCTTTCCCTTGTTGGATCCACGTAGCAGCACTGCCGTGTAAACTGAAACACTTTATAATTTTCCTTGGGGCGTGCGGCCGTGTCGTGAAAATACCTCAAGATGGACGCCGGAGTCAAAATTGCACTCTTGTTGAAATTGTTCCTCGGAGTTGGTGAGTTGGTTTTTACCTACGTCTTAATTTGATGTTGGCCTGTGAAAACTTTAACTTTCACCAGTAACAAATTCACGTTTACCTAATATATATAAATTATCACACGAAATTGATTGCTCACGTCTTAGTGTTCTATGAAATCTGGCTCTTCTATCGGGTGAAAGAATGAATTAGGAACAATCGGCGAGACAATCTTGAAAAAAATCAACACTTACTTGAATTTTGTACGTGTGCCAGCACAAAAAGACTCAGGATAGTTTGTTCAATAGTCTAGCCAAAAACCAAGAAAATAACTCAGAACACAGCCAGCGAACAGAGTGTCTTGGAATATCTAGGCCACATCCAAATTAAGCCGGTGAAATTTGAAAACGCAGCTTTATTCCTGCGGTTACACACTAAATCCGTCACGAAAACGGAACTTTTCGAAAACGCTCTTCAAACCGGAGTAATTTGAACACCTACGTTTTGTTTTCGTATGGACGGAAACATTGTGAAATGAGAGCTTTTCGGCAACGATGTCATCGCGATATTCAGGTGATTTTCCTGCCCGCCGATTGTTATGTTCTTAAATTCCCCTGGCGTAGTGTGGACGGAAAACATTTGATGCGCTTTCAGAGTGAAACCTACAATTCCTCAGTATAGTGTGGACGGGGCCTTAAACGTCTCTTATGCTAGCTCAGTGGGTTCAGGCCTTGTCAAGGTCTATGTCAGGTTTTGTAAAACATCTTTACATCGCATTTGATGCCTTCCTTGATGTGCCATTAATCAGCGGTTAAATCTTTCGCCTTCTACCTTTTGAAACCTTCATCCTGCTTCGTTTGATAACAAAATTGCTACATACTCGCTATTCCCTGAGAGAAATTCTAAGATGACTTGGTTAATTTCCTGCCTGTTGTTGATACCATAGTTTAGCAGTTCTATTTTTAGCGGTATTGTTTATGTAACTAAGAATGAAGAACGGGAGCATATGTAATTTGTCCTCAAACAACACCTTTGAAGACGCCTCTGAGACCCGAGGCTCAAACATTCAGTTTAAAGAACAGCACCCTCTACTCTCTAATGAAAACTAACGTAAATAGCATATCACTAATTGTTTCAAACCTCTTTTCCCCCTGTAGGTTTAGTTGCTGGAGGTATGTACAAAAATTACTTAAAACATGTCTTAAACTAAAACGTGAAATATCGTTTGCTGTCGATTGAAAGCCTCAGACTCTGTTGGTGTATACGAATAACGACAGAAGAAAATGAAGGTGATAGACACATTGGAAAAACTCTTTTAACGCAACGAAAAAACACCGGTGGCCTCATGGTTAGTGCGCTCCTTTCCAGATCGAGCGATTCAGGTTCGAGCCAGGTTCAGGTTCGGCGACAATATGTTGTGTTTTTAGGCAAGACAATTTACCCTCACAGTACCTCTCTCCACCCAGTTGTATAAATGAGTACCAGCGAATTTAATGCTGAGGGTAACCCTGTAATTGCCTAGCATCCCAACCAAGGCACAGTGCCTCTCCTCACCCAGGTGAGAAAATGAATACCAGTAAATTTAATGCTGACGGTAACCCTGCAATTGCTTAGCATCCCAACTAGGGGGAGCTCAGTGAAATACTCCTAGTCGCTTCATACTACAGAAATCGGATTAACACTATCTTTGACGTTTGAATTGACATATTTGATGTTTAAGAGGACATTAAGAACATCCTATTCTTCCATTTATTTGTATGATTTCTCGGTCAGGTTTTACTCTTAGAACGACCAAAAAATGCGCGCAAATACTGGGAATGCAAAACAACCAAATCCCGGATTCCGCTCTCAGCGCCTCCACTTCCTACAATGTTAGCTCTATGGGTCCAAGAAATGGAAGGTTATATTTCCAGGCAAAGAGTGGGAAGTACGGTGCTTGGGCCACGTCAAGGAATGACAAATTTCAGTGGTTTGGAGTCGACTTTGGGAGTTATGCAAAGGTGACCGCATTAGCTACCCAAGGAAGGCAAGATGGGGCCTGGTGGGTGACGAGCTACAGTCTGTCATTCAGCCACGATGATGTCTTCTTTGAAGACTACAAAGAAAACAATGTGAAGAAGGTATGCGACGTTATAGTCCCGATTTAGATAAGATATTAATCCCTAATATCTATCAATCTAAACAGTAAATACAATCTCCTACTTTCTCACTCTACCGTGTGGTGACAATAATTACGCCTCAAGTGTATCTATTGTGTCACATCGTCTATTTTGAACTTTATCTATGAACTGGCGTACAATCGGTCTTCGATGACAGAGGATGACACTCATATGGTCGAGTAGGATACAAGAGACGACTACGCTCGAAAGGGGTGTCTCTTCATCCTTGTGGTATTTAAAAGGATAGGGACATAAGTATTCTAAATCGTCGCAAATTAAAAAAAAAAAATTGTAGCAACTCAAGTCCATATGGCATACCAAGAGAATCGCTCTTGGTCATATTAGAACAGGTATCAAGACCTGAGCAGAACTGTTCGTGTTCGAAGTTGTAACGGAAGAATGGTGGTAGGGATTACATAACAAAGGGAGATCTCTTTTGGCCATGCAGTATTGTATGTGAAAGTGGGCGTATACCATTCAAACCATAAACACTTGAAAGATTTGGTTTGCGCAGTGGTTTGATGACTACGAAAGAAGGTTCCCGGCATCAAAAAGACAGACAAGCGTTTTTACACTGTGAAAAGGCTAATGCACAAAACATGTAGGCTTCTACACTGCTAGCGAAAGTTAGGGGTTAACCTTCAGATGGAGCTATTTTGCAGGCGTATGAAAATTCATCGGGTAGCCCCACCCTCTTCAACTGGAGGGGTTCTTTAAAAGGTTCTTGAATAAGGAAGAAAACAAATACAAATCGAAAACCCACCCATGCAGACTGAAATCGTCTAGTCGGGTCACTTTCGCTTTGTTCTGTTTCAGATTTTTGCTGGTAACCTTGACCGTCACACTGTCGTTAGTCATGATCTTAAAAATCCGATTATTGCCAAAGTTATCCGAATAAACCCGATTACTTGGCATAGCTACATCTCCTTGCGGGCGGAATTCTATGGCTGCAGAGAAGGTAAGGACGAGATAACTTTAATAACCCACATTTGCTTTTCTATTGTGAACATAACGTATTATTTAAAAGTTATTGGATCAAATGTTTCGTGATATCCACAATAAGAGCCTAGGAAGTGTTACAGATGGCAAGAAATCTTTTAAAGGCCATCTTAAAAATGAAAATCGTATCTCATAGCACATGCTAGAGCAATAAAGGAATATATGTAAATTTAAAGGTCTACATTAACCACTTTAATAATACTCCAAAGCTAAGTTTATGTCAATTGCTTTGGAAGAACTTGCGGAAATGAATAAAAAAAAAATGACACGGACTATTTATTTTCATAACGCTCTCCTTCTTTATTGTTCCTGGCAGCTCGTGAAAAGTGGCTTCAGAAACTGGCTATACAACAGAAAAGCATATAAGAGAGACGTTGATCTGGATCATGGTCTCTTAGCTTGGCAAATATAAGTAATGATGCGGTTCTTAGAGCGAAGGCTCGATAATAAACATCCCCGCTAA